AAACACAGTGCCCCATACAAGTTCATTGAAATCTACCATATTGGGGAAAAGCAATCCCCTCACCTGCACTGCTTTTGGAAATGCAGTGGGTCTCAGATGGCCTTCCCCCTCTTTCTCCAGCAGCTAAGAAAGAGGGTGAAAGGAGTCAAAGCAGCCCCATAGCTCCTGATAATGGTGGCTTCTTTTGCCCTGATCCTTTACCACTGGGGGAAAAAAGAGAGAGAATGTAATACACAACACCACCAGGACTTGCTGCTTTTGTAATAAGACCTGATGAGGGAAAAAGAGATGAAAAGGATTCTGGAAAGACCAGGGAAATCACAAATGCAGTCCCCCATTAACACAAATTATGCAGTTGAGTTCCCCACATTTGGTGAAATCATAGGGTCAGCACACCTGAAGTGCAATGGAAGGCCACTTTCTTGACCATGGTATTTCCCCTGCAAGGTATGAGTTGGAGTGGTCCTTGCACCTCCTACCCCCTTCTGTGCCCTGCTCTCCCAAGGCATGGTGACCCCCTGACTGCACCTCCCTTCAGTACAGGGCTGCACAGCCCCAGTCCTGCCAGAGGCCAAGAGAGCTCCTCAGTGTTTTGGGGTGCCCCGTGGGACCCCCATCAGCGGCTAGGTGTTCCTCCCACAATCCTTGCACAGGTATTAGCATAATGTATTAGCCTCAGTTTTTAAAGAGGCAAGGTATAAATATATTTACTACCATGTTTCCCCCAAAATAAGACAGGATCTTCTATTAATTTTTGCTCCAAAAATGCATTAGGGCTTATTTTCAGGGATTTTTTTTCATGTAAAGTAATCTACATTTATTCAAATACAGTCATGTCATCTTCTTCTGGTTGCTGCACAATGGTGGAAGGTGGGGTTTCACTTAACTGGGGCTTATTGTTAGCTGCCTAGAGTGGTCTGAGCTGACTAGATAGGCGGGATATAAATAAAATAAATAAATAAATATTTTGGGGTAGGGCTTATAGTACAAGCATCCTGAAAAATCATACTAGGGATTATTTTCAGGTTAGGTCTTATTTTTGGGGAAACAGGGTAATACATATGTCACCAAATGTGATTCACCATAATTAGAAAATGTATTCGAAATGACTTCTTCAGCTCACTAAGCTTGCTATATTGCCTGCCCTTTACAGAGTGCCATGTTAAAATTCAGAGATCACTATAATGGTAGCTTTAGTATTATTTATAGCTGTCAAGTAAAAGTTCACTCCTAGCAGTTAATTCAGTTGTAAAGACCAGAGTGTTACATTTTCAAATCTAGTTCACATGTCGGAAGCTAGGTACCCAGATCCAAATCATTTTTATTATGGCACTAAATTAGACAACAATCTTGCAAAACCAAAAGCACATGTGTCATTCTGTGCAATAATTAATTGGCTGTCTAAAGTTGTATCAAGACTATCGTGCTACCTTTCCCACTCATTGGCTGGAATCCTGTTCATATCATAAGCTTCATCGTAACTTCCAGCTTGTTCCTCTCTGGTAAATAAAGCGTAACTACTGCAATTCTCTGGAGTGCACACACATACACCAAGCCTACACATGTACACCCCTGAGAATCACAGCTCTAATTGTGAATGAAATCTGTAGAAACAGCATACTTAAGATATATTTTGCCATATGCAGAAAAACTTTTCAGAAGCCAGCACCTTGAAAAGGGACCTGCCAAGGTTGAATCTTCAGCATTAGTGATGGGTCCCTTGCAGGTGCAGAGGAGACTGAGTGATGCACACAGTCCTCTCCTACAGCAAGAGTAGAATACGTAGGGGGTGCTCAGGAGTTTCCACTGCTGGAGATGGCCTCTTCACTTGGGTTTGTGAACTGCTTCTTTCAAGGGAGTGCAGTTCAATTAAGGACACATTAAAACTCCATTTAATTAACCAGATAATCAGTGGTTCCCAGACATTCTTGAATGGCAACTCTGGGAAGCCCTTGCCACCACAGCTAGTGGTGAAGGCTTCCGGCAGTTGCAGTCCAAGAACAACTGGGTTAACCAAGATTGGGAACCACTTAGATAAACCATTTGCTAATAATACCTCTATCTTATCTGGACTGAATCTGAGGTCAAAAAGAGGCAACACACCAGCTTGATAATTAGAAGCAGAGCTTCCTAAACATTTGTCCTGCTATTCTGCAAGTTTCAAACAAGCTTGCTTTTGCTGAGGGCTTGCTTATTGAGAGATGTACTGTATATACTTTTCCATTAGTGCACAGAACTGTTTTGGTCAGTGTACATTCTTTTTAGTGCACATATGCAAATAGGTTGCCTAGAAGTGAAAATTTTGAAAAATTGTATGTTGGGATAGCATTTTATCATGTTCTGACTGGAAAGCTGTTGGTTAGATAGTTAAGTGGTCTAGGTATCTGGTTGCAGAGTCAGAGGCTGGGAGTTTACTTCCCCACTGTACCTCCTGGGAGAAGAGCGAGCCTGTGTAGACATGGGCAAGTTGCATAGTCCCAGGTTGCCCCCAGAAGAAGGGAATGGTAAACTACTTCTGAGTACTCTTTACCTAGAAAACCCTGGAGAGGGCTGTCACAAGTCAGAACTGACTTAACAACATGCAATTAGTATTATTAATTGCAAAGCTAGTGTTTTGTTTTTGTTATTGTCCTCACCTAGTCCATTGACAGGCCCTCATCTAACCCATCAGCAAGTCTAAGCATGAATTCAGCACAATCACTGCTTCATAGTTAAATGTAGTACAATTCTGTGACCTGAATGACAACTGCTTATATTTTGTTCCTGTGGCAAGACCCTTATCAGTATAATATTGCCCAATGGATGACTCTTAAATTATAATCATTTTGATATTTACTTAATTTGTATACCACTTTTCATTTCTATGTGTTTCTGTATTAAACATTGCAAATTCTTTACTGTACTTTCAATCATTCTGTTGGCTAATTTGTTTTGTTTTGTTTTTTTCAGGGTTTTGAAGATCCAAAAGACAAGTAAGAGAAAAACAATTCTTGTTTTCCTTGTTTAAGTGTGAAAGGTGTACAAATTTGCCCGTCTGCCAGAGGTGGAGAATCCATTCTCATTTTTACATTACTCCTTAAGTCACAGTTTTTCTTCACGAGTATGTTTATTAAGTGTTGAACGTGGGCTTAAAATGCATTTAATAACACAGCAGTCTTACATCCTACCACCATCCCACTGCCTTTGTTTCTTGTGATTTAAAGTAGGTTTAATGAGCTTTGCCTTTGAAAGGTTCTTGATGTAGAAAATGTCTTGGGGTGGGTGTCAATATGAACAGTCTAAGGATGGGCAGCTTTTTGGAAACATGAAAGAAAAATAAAGAGGACAAATAGATTTAGTGATAGAGAATTTCCCTTGGTCACGTTATTCTAGAAAGCTAGGTCAGATAGACCCTTGGTCCATCTGATCTGCTCTTGTCAACAACAAATGGCAACCACACTCTAGATTTTCAAGCTCCATTCAGAAGCAATGAGGATTGACCTGGAAGCTTCACTGTGCATTGAAAATATGGCCCTGCTCTTTTCCAGCTGTCCCTAACTCATGAAGATCTTGCGACCAAATACAGTAAAATAAAGCTGTATTTCTCCTAAAGGGCCATAGTTCAAGATACAAACCAAGAAATGCTTGTTTTCAAGTCTGTCCATTCTCTCTGACCTATGTGGCATATCAGACAGGGCAACCCAAGAGATTGTGGTGAAGATAGAGGTTCACAGAAGGGAGGGGGAGATATCCATGGATTCCTTCCCATACATCCTCTGAAATTCAGATATATTATGGATTAACTGCTGAACCTGGCCTACTAGACCCTATGGAGATCACCTCTGGTGAGTATTCCATTTTGGAGAAGTTAGCCCTCATAGGCATCTGGCTGCCAATAATATAACTGCTTCTTAGGTTTGCCAGAAAGGAGCTGTCTCTGAGATGTGATCAAATGGTCACAGCACAAGCTAAGTGTAAGAGCGGCCTTTGCTATTTGTATTACTTCAGTGTGCTACTGAGGAGAAGGAAGAGCAGCAGGTTAATGATTAACCTGAACAGTCCTTTTCTCTCTTTAGAAACTAATTTTGAGTGGGGAGGAAGGAGCCACACAGACGTACTTAAATGAAGAAGTCTGAGCATCCTTGCCAAGCTAAGATTTGCAGGATGTGTTGAAGAAACCTATGACAGAAAACCAATATAAGTCTATAATGAGACTGCCAACTGAGAAATCAGAAGATGTTAGCTCATATTTTCTCTTTTCACAGCAGTGAAGAACAGCCATGGCTGGTTTACCCAATAAAAAGCAGTAGAGGTAGACTGCAAAAAAAAAGAAAAAAGATAGGAATTAATCTCTTACTTCCAGGGTGTAGGAAAGAAATGGAAAGGTGAACGAACCTGCTATATTATATTTTAAAATAAAATTAAAGCTCTTGAATATGAATTCAAGAATATTTAATGAATGCCATTAAATGAGTATTTTCAAACATATCAGCGTTGTCAATGCATTTTTAGAAATTTCATTTGTCTTAGGGTGCAATCCAATGGGCATTTGTCACACAATTTGGTCCATTTGAAAGACTGGGCACTTCTTTGCCCAGTGACTACACGATGGATGAGCCATTGTGAAGCAGCCCACCCCTGGTCAAAGCCTACTCACTTCTTTTTGGATCCTTTTTAGATGCTATTATTGTTTTGGTTTAGGTACGATAACTGTTTGCATTTGGTTCCGGTGTATGTGATCGCTGGGATTGTAACAAAGCAGCAAACTGCCTGTCCCTTTGCTGAAGCCGCTTAACGGCCTTGAGATATATGGAAAGCTTCCTTGCCCTTCACATGCAATAAAATGGGAGAGGAAATGTTTCCATCTCTTTGTAGTGGCTGCTTAATACATTAGCAATGCTTTGAAAGGGCATTTTTTTTAAAAAAAAAAAAGTCAGTTCAAAGTATTGCTGATGAGCTGTGTCAGTTAGCAACAATTAAAAAGAAATAGAAAACTTCCTCTCCTTGCCCCTCCACCCCTGAGCAATAAGGAACTTTTTTTCCTAAAGATCATTAAGTGACTTAAGCAAAGCACAGAGGAAGAGACAGAAGGAGTCTTGTTTTTGTTTCTTTGTCTTTGTTTCTTTCCCTTTAAAGGCAGGATAAGATTGACCTAAATCATGCTAAACTGGGTCATTTGAGGTGTGGTGTGTTTAATCCTTGAGAGTAGACACAAGGATCTTTCCAAATACTTATACCTCCAAACAACACAGTTTAGCATTATTCTAGACCGACTCGTGGTGGGACATCTAGTCACACCCTTCCTCTCATCAAGTTGGTGTGATTCCAAAAAAAGATTCCTTTTGAACTTTCCTCAAAATTCTTAACTTACTTTGATATCATAGAACTAACAGTTATATAAAATGATTATGGTAACAGCCATTATATCAAGTTTAATTGGGAACCATTTTTCAGGTTGTGTAGCATTCTTTTAATAAAAATAGTCCCCTCTATTTGGGATCTTCAGTGGTTTAGACTGCCTTTTATGTTTAAAACAGACTTTTTTTAGGTCAATAGTTTTTCTTCAGATGTGAACATTCCTTGTTGACTGTTCCAAAAACAACATATACTGTATTTAAAGTTCCTTGCCCAATAATAAATAATACACAAATGCCTCAGATTCCACCATTTTTCTCAGGAAAGGGCCATGCCTGCAATTACTGTATTACCTCTCTGTAACAATTTAAAAAATCTGATTTTAATGATCATACCAAACTGAATGTTTGGGTTGTTGGTGCCTAAAAATGAGGGTGTGTAAAACAAATTTCCCATGGCATCTGAGGCATTTCAGCATTCAGTTATATAAGGCAAGAGTGGGATGGAAAAGAAAAAAGGCACTTCAAAGTTATCACTAGTAAAGGTAAAGGTTCCCCTTGACATTTAGTCCAGCCATGTCTGCCTCTAGGGGGCGGTGTTCATCCCCATTTCCAAGCCGTTGAGCCAGTGTTTGTGGTCACGTGGCCAGTGCGACTAGACACATAATGCCATTACCTTCCCACCGAGGCGGTACCTATTTATCTACTCGCATTTACAAACTTCCAAACTGCTAGGTTGGCAGGAGCTGGGACAAGTGACGGGAGCTCACTCTGTCATGTGGATTCGATCTTATGACTGCTGGTCTTCCGACCTTGCAACATAGAGGCTTCTGCGGTTTAATCCGCAGTGCCACCACGTCCTTTTATCACTAGTGCTCTTTCCTAATTAAACATATTTGTTAAAGCAGCAATTCTTTTGTTTGTTTTGCAGAAATTTTTTAGTGAATTTGGTTTAGCTGTGGGAATCTGAGATGAATAATTCAAGATCTGGAGTGTGTTGTTGTTTCCTGAAATGTATTAAAACATCACATGCTTTGTGCTAAACCAGAACCTTTGATGAGATGAAGGCAAAATGGCTTTCAAAGCTGTCCACAAAGCAGAATATTCAGAGTCTCTAGTTCCCAACCTTGGATCCCTAGATGTTCTTGGACTAAAACTCCCAGAAGCCTTCACCACTAGGTGTTCTGGCCAGGATTTCTGGGGTAGTCCAAAAACATCTGGGGAATCAGGATTGGGAACCATTGCTCTAGAATATTCTGAATCTCTTCCATGGTTGGCATGGGTGTATTTTACTAGCTTGCTGTGCCTCCAAAATCAGTAGGAAATGTAGGAAGATAAGAATATAGAAGAAGAACCATTGTGGATCAGTCCCATTTAGTCTAATACAGTGGTGCCTCGCACAGCGAGGTTAATCCGTTCCGGATTAACCCTCGCTGTGTGAAAGCATCGTTGAACGGGGCAGGAAAAGCCATTCCAATTGGGCCGAATACTCACCGTTCAGCAATGCTTCCCTATGGCCGGCAGCCATTTTCGCGCCCTCCCCTCGCTTAATGAGGGCGCGAGAACGCTGCGCGCGGCCATTTTGGGGCTTCCGGCAGCCATTTTGGACCTGCCGAACAGCTGATCGGCGGGTCGCAAAGCAAAGGACAGTAAGCGAACCGCTTACCGACCTTCGCTCTGCGATTTTCACCCTATGCAGGCACCGTTTTGCGATCGTATTTGCGATCGCAAAACCGGCCCCGTAGAGCGAATTCATTGCTCTACGAGGCGCCCGTTGTGCGAGGCACCACTGTATTAACCCAATCCCAGGCATTTGCAGGGCCATTATGATGGTTCTGTTTCCACATTGGGCATTCAGTTGACTATGACAGGCCTGCTTCCAGGAAATGAGAACAACTACCTCTTTTGCTCTTGCTTTCTAGCAGTACAGAGGTATACTAGCTATGGCAGTAACACATAGCCATCCTGATGAATAAAAAAACCGTCTCTTTTATCCACTCCCATCTAAAGCCATCCAGGTTCACAACCATCACTACATCTCATGGCAGTGAATCTCACCGTTACAAAATCAAAGAATGAGCTTCTGGAAAAATGAGTAAGATTTTGCAAAACCAAGAAAGAACTTAAATCATTGACAAACATTAACATGAAATTAACTTGGCTAAAGCATAACATACTAGAAAATAAGAAACAAACTAATCTGCCACGGGACTGAAATTCATTCTTTCTCTCTCCCTAGTCCCACGACAGCTTGGCTACTCATTTCCATTTAGTAAATCCTTTCATGGTGAGGGCATAGTTAGTGGTCCTTTTTCATCTACAATCTATTTTATGTCCTTTCTCCTCCATTGATGTTGTTCTCTATCCCACTCTGCCTTCTAAAAGAATCTTTGGTGTTCTCCCTCTCTCTTCTAAGAGAGTCATCTTAAAGTTTTCCTGAAACTTTTGATTCCATACTTCAAAGACTTAAAGATGTGAATTCTAGAAACACAGTTCTTTGAGTCATTCAGGTGTCAATTGTTTTCCCCAGGCCATTGTAACCTGCTCAATCTCCTCAGTCACCTTTCTGGCCCTATGGATTTGAGGCCTTTTCACATACATGCTTCCTCTGATCTTTGTTCTTCTGATCCTCCCTTTTCCTATCTGGTGTTTTCCCATGAGAACTAAAGTTAACTAAAACACTATCATTTATAAAAGGAATTAGATTTATATTAATGTATGATCTGCTCCCTTTCTCCACAACCTCTTTCTAAGCTAAGCAGCCCCAAAGATTGTCATCTTTCCTTGTAATTGGATTCCTCCATTCCCTCACTTCTTTGCAAATACAGATGGTTTTAAAAGCACAGAGGCTCGTATCCTGTTGAACTTCTGTTGAGCATGCCATCGTGATAAAATGGGATTGCAACAGTTGCCCAAGCATTGCCTTTGTGCAAAGAGAGGGTGGGCTTTCTTCATGGGCATCAGTTCTTGTCCTACAAAAACACTTGCACAAGAGGCAAGATCCTATCTCACTCTATTGAAAGGTTTTTTTAAAAAAAAACTTAGTGGAAGCTTAAACAATTAGTGGCCCATGATCCTAAGCTGCCAGAGCAAAGTTTGGTTTGGTAAGTCTTTTGAGTTAGGAGTATTGTTTCTCAGCTGTCTGGAGCAGGTGCATTTGGCATGGACGGTCTGCAGGTGAAGTTGAGATATGTAATTCAAACAGAAGCAGAAAGTTCCACTGGAAGTCTACAACTGAATCTTGGCCATTTTCACTGTTTTCTGACATTGTTAAGTCACTGTCCAACACTTACCTTTTCAATTTTTTGCACAGTGAATATTCCATCCGTCTGTGGTGACAATGGTTATTTATTGTCCTGGATGTGCAGATAGTAACATTTTAATACATTTGTTTTTATTATTTGCCTCTGGATTCTGAGCCATAACCATGTTTGTAAAATTATCCAACCAGGTTAATCCTACCTTGACACTCGCACCATTTCCTGCAGCTACATAGAGCACACTGTGACATTTTGTTGCAGTCACTATTTGTAGATTGGTTGATATCAACCGGGGTTAAAGGGGGAGGTTTACTGTAATATATGAAGCCTGAAAGGATTGCAGCAATGTAAGTAGTCACTAGCTTCTCATTTTAGTCTGTGTGTTATATAGAAGAATGTAAAGAACTGGTAAGATTTGGAAGACAGCCTTACTTAGGATTCCAAATCCAGCCTGCACTGCCTACAGAAAGCAAAGAGAGAGAAAGAGAAAGGGAGTCCAAAAGAATTATAGAGTTCCTCCTCTAGAGTGTCAATAAAAGCATAGAGCAGCCTGGAGAGAAGGGAAGTAATGAACTGATTCATCTTTGAATGTCTCTTTGGGAAAGGCTCTTTAGTGTAAATACCGCAGCCTGATTCGTTTCTCCATTGTGCTGTTGTCTTAGGAACATCCAGGAAAACATGAATCCAGAAGATGAGGTGGATGAGTTTCTAGGTCGTGCTATTGATGCCAGAAGTATTGACCGCTTACGTTCTGAACATGTTCGCAAATTTCTCTTAACATTCAGGGAGCTTGACTTGGAGAAGAAGGTAAATGTTCCTCAATTAGACATGTCTGTGTGGAGGTTGTTGAGTAAGGAGCAGACTAGACACAATGGTAAAAAAAAATCAGTGTCTTTCAACAAAAGTCTGCCTTTATAGCACTCAATCATTGTGAAGCTCAAAGAAAGCAAAGGGAAGCAGGTGCATAAAACATTCACACACACTGCCTTTTTAACTCACAGTCCCTTTTCTGCAGTTCTTTATTTCTCCGTTCAGCTCATTTCCAGTATTATACCTCAGGAAGCAGAGTGATGGGAAATTATCTTGGCCATTGGGCTCCATAAGAGGTGGAGTATGGGAATATCTGGCACCCCCTGCCACCTGTCCCTCTTATATTCTAAAAAATCACCACTCCCCCCTCACCAGCTGCTTCCACATCTTGAATTCTGACATTATTTTGGATTTAAGCCCTGCTGCAACCATGTGCATTTCAGCCCATGATTTCTATATACTCCAGTCTTCACACAGAGGCCTATGTTTGTTTCCTACACATTGGGGCCCACAGCATGCATGGCAGTTCTATCGCATATTCATGAAGTTTGCATTAGATTGAGAAGGGAGCTGGACCACATTGTATGCATTAATACTTCTCACATGTCTCGGACATAGCAGCAGCTTATTTCTATTTCCTGGACCACTATTACCTGCCCTGAGCACATGAGGAGCTAGCAACTCTGTGATTAGAGCTAGGCTAAACTTATTAAGACATGCACATATATCTGTTAGACTTGAGCAATCTGTGATTTTTCAGATGTTATTGAAGTTCAGTCCCATCATCCGAAAGATCTACCACATCTGAAAGTCTACAGATGTTGCAGTTCTTCAGGACGATGGGACTGAACTTCAATAACATCTGGAGAGAATTTGAGTTTGAGAAGTTTGTATTTAGCTAATGGTTTCTTTCCTTTCAGTACTCCAAACAAGTGGATGATCGGTTTGGTGCATATGTGGCATGTGCCTCCATAGTCTTCCTCTTCATCTGCTTTGTTCAGATCACAATTGTGCCCCAGTAAGTTGACTTTTGTACCTTTCTTTATATGACCACCTTCCTATTTATCATATCTGGCTTCAGTGCATTAAAGTGAAATAAATCTACATATATACTGCTTATTATTCACACTGAAAATGAATGCAATACTAAATTATAGACACAGTCACCTGAATCCAGAAGCTCTTCCCATCTCTGTTGTTTGTGCAGACTGATTATTTAACAGACGTTAAAAGCTTTAACATACATGTTTTAGGTAGGCGACAGAAATCCTCTGCATTAGTGCATATCTTGAAGATGTACACAAACTGTGGGTAGCAAGCAACTTGATTTTGTGTGCAAGTGCAGAATCCTTGAAGTGCAAAGCTTTCTGACTTAGTGCCATGTCATACGTTGTGGACTGAACAACTTGCTGTAATGTAGGAATAGGGAATATTCACCACTCCTGCTGTAAGTACCACCATGGACAAACAGGTATGAAAGAAAAACATCAACACTTGTGCCATTCAAGGAGGCATGGGCATAACTTTCTGTACTTTCCCCATCCCATAAGCTAACTAATGAGCAGTGGGTAAAAGAAAAGCCATTTCTCCGGAATGCCACAGGTCCCTGCATTTGCCCCTCTATGCTAGGTGCTGACACTGAACCTGTGTTCAAGTAGCAGTATTTTATTTGTGATAATTTTGGGGAACAGTGAATACATATTGGAAAAGGAAGCAGTTGTGCCATTGTTCAGCCCCTTATAAGCCACTGCTGTAGTTTTTGCATCATTTGATCTTTATGGAGAGAGTTGGCAGGTTTTACAGATGTGTGTAAGGCGGCATAGTCTCGCTTGTGTTTGTTCTGTCCTATTCAATTTATGAATTGAAAACGTTAACTACTGATCTAGAGGAGTAGCCCTCTATACTTTTTGATGGACATAAAGAGGCAAAGCACAGCAACAGAAACAGTTGGATAGAGAGTTTCATGGAGACATGACTAGAGGCTAAATCCTATGAAGAACAACTCAAAGAACTAGGTATGTTTAGCGTAACGAAGAGAAGACTGAGGGGAGACATGATAGCAGTCTTCCAATATCTGAAAGGTTGCCACAGGGAAGAGGGCATTGATTTATTCTCCATTGCGCCTGAGAGTAGGACAAGAACCAATGGGTGGAAACTCATCAGAGGGAGATCCAACGTGGAAATAAGGAGGAATTTCCTGATGATGAGAACCATTAAGCAGTGGAACTGCTTGCCTCCCGATGTTGTGGGTGCCCCATCGCTGGATCAATCAAGAAAAGATTGGACAGCCATCTGTCTGAGATGGTATGAGGTCCGGATGGTATGAGGTCTCCTGTCTTGGGCAGGGGGTTGGACTAGAAGACCTCCAAGGTCCCTTTCAACCCTACAACATGATTCTATTATTATATGACATACCATTAGTGCATGGCCATAAGCACTCGGAAGGTGCAGCAGCAAATACTTTATTGATTCCACCACCACCACCACCTGCTCATATATTCAAAAAGTCTTCTTTGGACTTGGCTGATATTTTGAAATTGTCTGTTCTCTGAAATTTGTTTAGATTCTGTGGTATGAAAAGCTTAATGGAAAAGAGCAAGTTCAGCTAAAGTTAGTATAATGATTGACAAGCCTTTGTTCAGTTTTGACAGGTCAGGAGCTACAGGAGCTTCTGGTAATCAGAGCAAGTACAGTCTTTTAAATACTTCAACAGGGAGACATTCCATAATAGACCAGGTTAAACCAAAAATAAGTTCAAGAAACAGGATAAGAGTGACAGAAACAATTCCTAAGTATCAGTCATATTTTTCCAATGACATAATAGAGCCAAATTCTGCTCTTCTATCTTCCAGGCTGTACCTCTTCTCTAAGCAGACAGAATCAGTCAAGTTGGAAATAGTAATATATTGGTGTTTTTCTCTGGGCTCTTCCAGATGTGTTTGAACGTAGTTTTTCAAACTGTGCATGAACTGTGTGCATTAATTCAATGTCCTCCAGCCACATAGAGGTGAGCTGCTTAATGGTTTAGTTGAGTAAAAGACACTTAATCAGTTACAATTTCAGAGTATTAAAAAGGGACTAGTATGAAGAAAAGCTTTGCCTCTTTATATTTGAAAAAGGGTGTTTCCTTTTTAAAGGGTATATGAATAAAGGGGGGAAATGCTGTCTTTTCTGCCTTTGGTCTGTCTCACTTTGCTGTCCTTATGTGAAAGAAATCATAGCAGATGCCCGCTGGCTGGAATGGCCAGTAGCACTGAAAACAGGATCTCTATAGATCAGAACTGGGCAATAGGTGATTTATGGGCTACATATGTCCACCTGTGGTTGCATTCCTCATGTCACCCTCAAAATAGATAATTCTTTTAAAACATTTAAACAAAAAGAACATTCCAGGAAGTGTGATTCTGCAACAAAACAGAATACAGATGGAAACAGGAGGAGGCATTGAGGAGGATTTTTTTTCCTCTTTTTGTTGTGACTTTTCTTAAAGGTTGGGTCAAGAACCTGCCCACAGCCAGATCCTCCCCTGAGTGGCCAGTGGTGGGTTCGGCTGCAGGCAGGTTCTCAACCTGATCTTTAAGAACAGTCACAAATAAAAATAAAAATAAAAAAGTCTTCTTCATTGCCCCTTCTGCTCTTTTCCCACTTCCAGGAGGAAGTTTTCAAATTTAAAAAAAAAAAATTATAAGTGATGCAGTGCATCACAGTTCCCCTAATACAGTGCAAAAGTTTTTTGTTTATTTCCTCTGCCCATCCACAAAGCAGAGGGACTATTTAATTTGCCACTATTATGAAGTGGTTTTTGTCTTAAGACATTTCACGAGATGGGAGATTGACAGTGGAAGGAGCCAAACCAAATTGGAGCATTTGAGAGGCATACTGGACATTTGGATGCAAGGATCATATTGAATTCCATTCTGGACCTCTGCCCCACCTTTAGCAACCCTATTTAGCCTCCACCAGTGCCTACTCCAAATGGGCCTATAGACAAACCCTTAGCTGAGCATCTTGGAGGCCTTAGATTGGAAGTCTACAGTTTCCTTTATACCATGATTGCAAGAATAATCACTTTGCAGTTTTCTACTAAACCTGACCAGCTGTCACAAAAACAGGCAATTAGTGTGTTCTTCCTCATTCGGTGCACACACTTATCCTACATAATACTGGGGATATATCCCACTTATCTATTATTGACGCAAGGTCTCAGATTTTATTGAGGAAGGGGAAATAGACACAATTTCATGAAAGCTGTTACAATGCCATGAATGTTAAGGCAGAAATCTGTGTTCCCTTGACTTTTAAAACTGTATTTCTCCATGGCAGAGTTAACTTTGTGTCTGTCTGTCTGTCTCTGTTTCCAGATAAGGACCTCAGACAGCTTTTCTAAATCTCCAATAAGATTTGAAAATAGCAATTGAAAAAGATGAGCACCTTGGATTCTGATTAGGACAGCTGGGGAAATTTATCAGGGCAGAAGGCAAGAGAGAAGTGTTGAGGGATGGGGAAGTGAATTGCTCCCTAGGAATATATGGGATTGTGAAACTGTGAGACTTGATTGGGGAGTTTTGGGATTTTCAAACTACTGGAAAAGCTGCTCTACATTCTTAGCTTGGGCTGCAGTCTGTCTCTGAAGTTATATTTCTGAGCTGCAATTGAATGCCGGAAGACAGGCCCTTAATTAATTAAGAATGTATTACTCTTTATGTTCTGACTAGAGATGGGGGCATTCGTATACGAATATCCCCGCACAGGTGGTGATAACGAAGGTCCAGCCCCCTGGGGCCGGACGGTCCGCTCACCGATGCGCTGCTGCCACAGATGCCACAATTCTTCCAAATGGCAATCTGCTCAGCACTCTTCAGCCTTGCAGCACGGCTTGTCCTCCTGCCTCCTGCCAGGAGTGGCTAGCCGATCGTGATCTGCAAAGCCATTGGAAGAATCACGGCATCCGCAGCAGTGGCATCCACCTGTGCAGGGATATTCATATACGAATATGAATACCCCCATCTCTAGTTCTGACTTCTCATCTGCCTTGGTCTGCCCTGTAGCCCTTTCCCAAGGTAAGCTAAATAGCACTCTTTCATCTAGGCCTTAGAGTAGCTGCCTAAGTTTTGCCACAATCTCTCAGTCTTATCTCAAGAGAGCAAACTACAGGACACCAGATTTTTCCATTGAACTTTATGTTTCCAATGGATTTGCCTACTGGGTGTTTAGATCTCTTATCTGTATCTTAGTCTTATCTTCACATATGTTGTATACACTTGGTGATTAGCTGTTTGAATTTAGTAATATAATTGGTCATTAAGATGGGGTAGTTGTGAACGTCTTCCTCAGTAGGTGCTTAATTTGATGAGTGCTTAACTCCCTTTCATCTGGTGCAGTATTACTGAGACTCTGATGCTAGATGACTGGGGTCTTCCTCATGCTTGGAAAGGTCCACAAGCCCATGTTTATGTCCAGAAAACCAGTGCCAGCTAATTGCAAACAAGAAGTGTGAATGGCTCCCTGCTGTGCCAGTTAGAAACTTTAAGCAATTAGGGATTTCCCACTTCTGATTATCCGCTGTTTGAAATTTATGTTTTCGCCATCAGAGATGACAGGAAGAAATAGCGGCTGCCAAGTTTTGTGTACATTGGCTGTTACTGGTGGTTTGCAGTAGCAACGCAGACCAAGAAAACAGACTTGAACCACATCTTAATCAGCAGCTCCAGGGACGCTCTTTAGCAGGAATAATGACCAGCATCAAGACAGAAATATATAGCCACAACTATGAGAAACAACCCATATCATGTTCTGCATCTAGAGATGATGCCCTTACAATTAGCTAGCTCTGTCAATTAATATGACCTACCGAAAAAACTGGGTTTTGTTTTCTCTTGACTAACTGTAACCCTAACAAATTGTGTACCAAAGATTTTTGTGGGTGCCAGCAGTTGTAGGCAGTGTTCATTTTGCCCTTGTGCCTATATTTCAATAATGCTGATATCTTCAGCTCTTTATATTTGGACAGTGTTTTGC